TCTAACTGTTCAAAAGCCTGGGCCTAGTTTGAGGCCAGGCTTGCATGGCTTTGAAGATGAAGCAAAATTCGAAACGAGACGAACAACAGCATATGCGACGCATCGCATTTCTCGCAATTGTTCTTTCCACTGTGGCCGTAGTCTCCTCAGTCGTTACGTTACCAACACTGTACAGCTTTGTTCAAGCACTGGAAAGTCATCTGATGGTGGAAGCCGACTTTTGCAAGGTAAATATCCGACTCTCCATACGAAAATTTAAGCGGATATCTTAAAAGATTCTTACTGCGCGCATTAACTGATACAATTGCCAGGCATAAGCGCCGTGGTAAATAAAATGCAGCTCCTGCGTATTATATCAGCCCTGAAGGTACTCAGATTTAGCTGAATGTGCTAAACTGCAATAGAAAACAGTGAGTCATTCCCATACTGCCATACTGCTAAGTTTAAACACTCTGGTCAAAAAATTTGGGGTAAAGCCATTGAGCGGCTTTCGTTTCAAAGCCGGAGAAGTACCAAACAATAAATGGTGCGAAAAAAAAAGGAATCAGAAGAGCGGCGTGGAGGGGGCTAATAAAGAAATGTATTGAAGCACATGTCAAAGTCTAATCCAGTTACATGTTTTTGCGATAAGCTGTTCCGAGCGTTTAGTGAGCGGATAAATCACTTACATGCAAGGATAGACCACAACAAACCTTTAGCCTATTCAGCGTGTGAAAAATACAAAAGGGTATCAGGCAGGTGGCTTGCCTCACACCAAAGTTATACCTCTTAGATAGTACTTACCTTCAAAGCTTAGCTAGTTTTATGCTTTTCAGTTTTGAAAGTGGTAAACCAAAATTCTAAATTCTGGAGTTTCTGGATAACAGAAAAACAGTACTAGTAGACTAGTACAAGAATAAATGGCGCAGTAATAAATTTTCAAAAACGGAGCCTAGCATAAAGAACGTGTATCAGTGGCGGTATCTGAAGTACACTTTCAGTCTCGCTCAAGAGATATGTGGTCGGAGATGACCGCTTTGCAAATCGGTAAGCGGTATTTTGATCGGATAAAAAGGGAATGGCTATTTGGCCAGTGGGTACCGGACTCAGGCCTATATGGTGGCGGAAGCAACAATTACGAGGCAGCTCCAATCCCGGGAGCTATGAGGCCGAGTGGCGGAATGGGTCCAGTAATAAACTCCGAATTCAATAGCCAGTGCTGCACTTGTCATCAGGTAAATGAATTAATATAAGTTTTGGCATAAATTCACAATCTTTAATCTTTTTTCGAGTTAATATCTAAACAAGAACAATTGCTGAAACCCTCGCTAATGTGTTTTTAGAACAGTAGTGGATTTGATTAAGTGTACTATCAACCTAAAAGATTTGAAAGATGGCTGCTGACGAAAGCAGTAAAGCAATCGCTGACTGTGACGGAGGGATACTTGAAGTATCTCTTCATGACCATATTAAACTCTCCGTTAAACAGGCAACATGCAAGATGTCACTGCAGCCATACGAG